TACTGAGGCTTGGCCTCAGTATCCTTTACGTGACCAAGAGAAGTGGCCTTTACATGGTTCCTTAAATTACAATACTACTCCCATTAGACCTTTTCTGTAAAAGGGGAAAAAAAGTGGACTGAAGTTCCCTATATACAGCTTTTCTTTTATCTCCGAGACCACCCAGAATGGCTCCATAATTGCTATCTAGATACTCAAAAACTGGCCATTCTTTGTGAGCCACAGGATAAACATGGGGAAGGAGGACCAGAAAAACCCCTTACCAATGACAAGGCCCCTGCCCCTACTGCTACCTTCTAAATTACCCCAATAGTCAGAACCTCTTAATGGATGCTTCCCCCTTCAACAGGCAATGGTAGGAAGAGGATCAGTCTAATGAGTTTATGTCCCCTTCTGGTTATCAGATCTAAGGGAGATTTTAAAAGATATGGGCAGCTATACTGATGCCCCAGATGAAAACATCCAAGCCTTTATCTCTGTGATCCAAACCTTTAAATTGGCATGGAAGGATATTATGCTTCTACTAAACCAGACTCTTTCCTCATTAGAAAAGCAATGGGTCCTGGCCCAGGCAACTCAGGTTGGGGACAATTACCTTCTTCAATGAGCTCCAATACCCATGACACCTGAAAATGAGGGAATAAATGTGCCTATACCCACAGGGGCACAGGCAGTCCCCTTGGCAGATATACACTGAAATCAAAATGGTGAGGAGGATGAATGGTGTTGACGCCACTTCATCCATCTTATAGTGGAAGGGCTGAAAAGAGCCAAAGTCAAGCATCTAAACTATTACCAGGTGACTGCAGTGCAGCAAGGTCCTGAAGAAAACCCTCTTACCTTTCTACAGCATCTTAAGGATGCTATCAGAAAGCATACCACAGTGGACCCAGAATCACAGGTGGGGGAGGTTCTCCTCAAAGGTAAATTTCTAACTCAATCAGCCCCAGGTATCTGTAGAAAACTCCAAAGTCTGTGGCTGAAGGTGAAAAATCACTGGACCAATCAATGCAATTAGCCATGTCTGTATACTATTAATGGGGCATTACTAAAAAGAGAGAAAAAGATAAAGAATCACCATGACTTCATTGCAGCTCTCAGGGAATGCCCTACCTGATGGGCCTACATCCCGAGCTTGCTACTATTGTGGACAGGAGGGGCACTTCCTCAGAGAATGCCCAAAAGGGGGACAGCCTGGGAGATAGCCCCAGTCCCCACTGGGCCCTCTCTGTTAAGGTAACCACTGGAGGTCTAAGTGCCCCCATCTCCAGATGGAAGGCAGGGTGCCACCTCCTTTGGATTGATGGGTTCCATGGCCTCCTGTCCAGGATCCACTTCCGAGCATCAATGTTGAGGAGCCTCAGGGAACCAGAATGGTAGAGAAGTGAAGGGTCATTTTCCTCCTAGACAGTGGAGCCCGTTTCTCTGTCTTATTGCCCCTGGTCCAATGACAAGGTTATCATTCAGGGCATATCTGGCCAGCCTCTAGAGCACTGTTTTACTCGGCCTCTGGCCTGCTCTTGGGGAGATCTCCACATCTATCACTCTTTCCTCATAGTCCCTGAAACTCCAGTGCCCCTGCTGGGATGGGATTTATTATCTCAACTAAAAGCTCAAATTCTTCTCCCCCCCATTCAACTATCTCTGCTGTCTCCTCCTTCAGGAACAAATGTGGACTGATGGGATGACTGTAGGGAGACCCAGAACAGCACCCCTAATTCAAACAAAACTCAAAGATCCCTCACATTTTCCACACCAAAAATAGTATCCCCTCAGGCCTGAGGGACAAAGAGGCCTCTTACCTATCATAAATTCCTTTAAAAAAAACAAGGGCTGCTAATTAGTTGCTTCAGCCCCAATTACACTCCTTTTGGAGATTGGTTCAAGACCTCTGGCTCATTTGTGAAGCAGTCATTCCCCTCCATCCAATTGTTCCCAATCCCTATACTCTATTGGCTCAGATACCCTCAAAAAGCCCAATATTTCTCTGTACTAGATTTAAGGGATGCTTTCTTTTGCATTCCTCTGCATCCTGACAGTCAGCCCCTGTTTGCCTTTGAAGATCCCACAAACCCTTCACAACAACTAACCTGGTCAGTTTTGCCACAATGGTTTAGAGACAGCCCTCATCTTTTTGGACAGACCCCAACCAGAGACTTTAATAAGTCTCTGGCACTACCCAGAGGCCATCCTTCAATATGTTGATGACTTACTTCTGTTTGGAGCCACAGAGCCCCCATCTGCAGGGTGACTGAGTCCCTTTTAAACTTTCTGGCCTACAGGGGATACAAAGTCTTTAAGGAAAAGGCTCAATTATGTCTCCCTACAGGTCACCTACCTAGATGTGGTCTTAAAGGGACAGACTCAATCCCTGAGTCATAAGTGAATTGACCCAATCTTCCGTTTCCCACTCCCTCAGACCATAAACCAGCTTGGAGCTTTCTTGGGGTTACAGGATTTTGCAGAATTTGGATCCCTAGATATGCAGCCCTTGCCAGACCCCTTTTTATGCTCCTTCTAATATTCCTATTTGGGCCTTGCATAATAAATGCTGTCTCCAGATTTATATCTCAACAGGTCCAACTAATCAAACTCAAGGTCTTAGTCAAGGAATACTCACCTCTGCCTACATATGAGCCCTCTATCCTGATCTATTGGGGGCACCTGGAGACTACACAGGTCAACCCCTGAGACAAGTACCACCATCCCTATACCCCCATCATCCCATTGTCAGCACGAATTGGCTAGATGAGAGTTGTTGCCCCTCTTCCCAATAGCAGTTGGGTACTTGTCTCAGAGGGGGGATTTGTTGGGTCTGGAGACCTAAGGCAGATGAGTGAGTATTCCATACCTCATGGAGAGCACTGCATTCCTGTTTCCTGAGATGGAGTTATAAACCTGCATTCCTGCACCCCGAAGAGGAAATGCAGGGTCTGATAGATCTGCCACAGGGCTGATGAGCAAAATGCTCCCAAGATCGTTTCCCCTCTCCCAATAAAGGTGCAAACCAAAACAGTTCACCTGAGAAAGCCCGCGAATCCCTGGCCGATGAAAAGAATCCACCTAAGCCGGAGTTAAAACATCCATAAAAACCTCAGCCTTCACCTAGTGGTTACCACTTTCCAGGCTCCGCTGCATGCTCTAGCTGTAGCCTTTTTTTTCTCTCTAATAAATTCTGCCTCATATATCCGCTTTGGCTTATCATTCAGCTGCCTTACAAGCCAGTTCTCTGGCCTGTAAAGGCAAGGACCCTCTACACCAGCCTGCAAGACTTCAAACTGGCATGTAACAATATCTTATATAAAATGGCATAGTTTTGCATGTCCTTATACATATGGTTCTGTACACTTTAAAGATTCCCTAGATTACTTATAAGATATAGTATAATGCAAATTTATATAGACATGAAAAGAAAAAAGTCTGTACATGTAAAGTACAGACACATTTTTCTTCCCAAATACTTTTGATCACAGTTGGTTGAATTTGCAGATGCAGATTTGCTTTAAATATTTTAAAAATGTACTGGAACTGAATTGCTTATTTTTAACTGTTCAATAAAACATATCAGATACTGAATTTATGATTTCTGTCTTTGGTGTCAACTCTCAATTTCTAAATTTATACAGCAATTTATTTCAAGCATTTCAAATACTGAACCTATGTTAAATTTTACTATGTTTAAGTGTGAAATCTTACGTATGTGAGAATCAACTTAGGTTGGATCTTTTCTGCCAGAGGATTAAATCAGTAATCGCTGCTGTTACAAATGTTAGTCTCACTAACTTGGCTTCCCATACATTCGCTTCATGGACTCTGCTTAACGTGATGAAATTTTCTATTAAGAACAAAGGGTTTTTATCCTCAGTAGGGCAAAAATTCTCCTAAGTGCCCTGATAACTAAAAACAGTCATTGCTTCTCTGAACTTTTAAACTTCTTTGTTCCCAAAGGTCACACCTTACCTGGCCCCTTTTTAATTAGCCAACTGAGTAGACTGTGAGCCCCAAACCTGCCCAATTCAGGGGCAGGAGAGGGACATCATGGTGTCATATAAAACCCTTGCGACTTCCTGCCCAGTGTGCATACCTACCAGACTTCCTGGTGTGGTGCACCCTTCTGTAGAAGTAAATTTTGCCTTGCCTATTGACTTGTGAGTCGTGTCATCTCTCTCTTGACACCCCAATATCTTAAAGATATTTCTAACATGTATGTTCCTGATTATTAGGGATGACATACTCTCTGGAATACTCCATTCTTCCCTCATTGTTTTCAAATGCTACATTATACTGTATCCAAAAACATTCCTAATGATAGCATCTTTCTTCCACTTAGTGCCAAACTATTTTGAATAAAAAATATTACACATACTGATTTCTTAGACTTTTTTTCTAGTGAAAAACGAAGTCAAGAATGCTTTTGTAAAGTACACAATACACCAAAACCTGAGAAAAAAAATACAGAAACTATTGAGAATCTTATAGGAATTTTTTGAATTCCTTATTCAAAATGTCTTATCTCCATTTATTCAACTCATTTTAATATCACAGAGGAAAGAATATATTTCTTTTCTTCTTTTGTATCGTGTTTATTTTCAGGTTGAGTTACCATTTCTTTGTGTCGCTTTACTGATTTCCATGAATTGGCTTTGTCTCCCCTTCCCCGTTTTAAAATTTTTTTCGGAGAGAAGTTCTGACGATGTCTGATAGTAAGTCTCCTATTGTATGTCTAGGGTATTTCTGAATGTTTAAAAGTGAACTTTACATGCTGCTTTCTTTTCCTTGACAGTTCTGTGTCTAAACTTCACCATGGCCACAGAGTTCCTCTGTGATTTATCATTTTCGGGGGAGCAATCGGGATCCGGGTTGCTATCCGCAGCAATACGGACTCCAAAATCAAAACGCGTGAAGGCGGCGACAATCCGGAAGAGATAGTCGCGGAGCCTCATGGGAATGGTAGTTTGGCCATTGCGGTGAAGGGCCCTGGCTATGCGCGCTGTATTTGCGCACGTCTCTTGCTGCTTGCAGCCTCTGCACCTCTTCCGTTTTCCTCGGGCCTCACGTGGGAGGTGGTCCGGGCTGCCGTTACGCGCTCTTCGTGGGCCAGCGAATTCGACTCGGGAGCGACAGGTGAGCCCCGAAGGACTGGGTGAGGAAGGCGGGGCGGGCAACAGGCGTTCAGTGCCCGGCAGTGGGGAGGAGCCCTGCAGACCCGGAGATCGGACCTCGGAATGGCGACGTTTTTATCGGGACTCAAAGCTGTCTCAGCGAAGGCCTAGTGCCCGGTCTTCGCAGCGTGGTCTTGAGTCGCGAGAGTAGGGCTTGTGCGCGTGCGTGAGGCGCACGCCCATCTGGGGACTGGGCGGTGCTGCAGGGAGCGCGTGTGCGTGCGCGGCGCGTGTGGGGTCTGTCTTGACGCGGGCTCCCTGTCAATCAATCCCCTCTGGATGCGCTCTGCTCCTTTGATCTCCGCTCTCTAGTCTTGTCACTGCATCTTGATGAATGCTGTTTATCTGCTTGATTTCCCCCTAGCATTCAGGATGGATCTTCAAGAAGTGTCTATTTTTGTTTTATTTGATATAAGTATTTTAAAAAAATTTCTGAAGGTTAGTGACTTTTTGAAGATCACAATTTGTTAGGTTTGCTGAAGAATAAAATTCGGGGGACTGTCTACTTTCCACTTAATTCAAAGAAAGTTTCTTGTAAAACATCTTTTTGAGAAATAAAGTTAAAAGAAGTTAAAATGTTTTTGTTTCCTTGAAGCACTTTTTATGTCTTTCAGTGCACTCATTAACCAAAGAGAAAGTAATATTAGCAGAAAAATTGATAGCTTAGCCTAGAGTATCTTTTGCAACAGTTTTCAGGGAGGTGTAAAAGTTCCTTCATTAGATGCATTATTAACTTGTTTAACCATATTGCCGTTTAATATTTTTTGTGAATACCAACGGAAGTTAAAACTGTTAAAATCCTTAAGATGTAAATATTACATTTACCCAGTGGAAAAACTTTAGCCAAAGAGTAACGCGATTATATTAGAGTAATAGGGGGTAGTCTTTCACTCTTCCTCCTGATTATTCTGAAGTGTCAACAGGATATTAACATTTTCCCACCGGAAGCGTTTTATCTATTGGATGTGTGTAGCTTTTTAGGATGGAAGAATTGAAAAGCTGCTGTGAGCCAAGATCTTTTATGACTCTATTTTTCTTCTATTCCAGCTGAAATTTCAGAGTTGTCTACGTTTTTCCTAGAGCAGCACAAAATGAATGAGGTAAGTTGTTCATCTGTTCATCTCCTTTATCTTTTTTTTTTTTTTATTCATATGTGCATACAAGGCTTGGGTCATTTCTTCCCCCTGCCCCCACCCCCTCCCTTACCACCCACTCCACCCCCTCCCTCTCCCCCCTACCCCCTCAATACCCAGCAGAAACTATTTTGCCCTTATCTGTAATTTTGTGGGTTTTTACTGGTTGAGATAAGGATAGCTATACAGGGAGTTGACACACATTAATTTCCTGTGCATGTGTGTTACCTTCTAGGTTAATTCTTTTTGATCTAACCTTTTCTCTAGTTCCTGGTCCCCTTTTCCTATTGGCCTCAGTTGCTTTTAAGGTATCTGCTTTAGTTTCTCTGCGTTAAGGGCAACAAATGCTAGCTAATGTTTTAGGTGTCTTACCTATCCTCACTCCTCCCTTGTGTGCTCTCGCTTTTATCATGTGCTCAAAGTCCAAACCCCTTGTTGTGTTTGCCCTTGATCTAATGTCCACATATGAGGGAGAACATACGATTTTTGGTCTTTTGGGCCAGGCTAACCTCACTCAGAATGATGCTCTCCAATTCCATCCATTTACTAGCGAATTCATCTCCTTTATCTTACAATGGATTTTATGAGTTTGTAGGGATCGATGTATTAAAATGAGAAATTAGTAATAGATAAAGTTGAATTTCACAGAAAATATAAAGCAACAGATCAGTAGCAGGGCCTAGTTGGCATGTTAATATATAATGATCTTAGAGTCACTCATGTGAGCTGCAAATATGTCTCTGATCTTTCTCACAAACATAACAGAAAGGATGACACTGCATTTTGGATACAGAAGATTGATTCCTCTGAAGGCAAAGATTTCCTGGAAGATATTTTTTTTTATCATAACATATAGTGAATAACCGTCCAGTAGTAGCCCTGAAATAAATGCAGCCTATTGCCTTAAAACTATTTTTACACTCAGTAGTGTGAAAGGGTTGAAGACATGGTGCAAGAGGTGTCAATTTTCACATGGACTTGTTTGATCCAGGTGTAAAACCTACAATGCTGAAAGGAGAAATAGCCTGCATGCCTGTTGCAAAATTCCTGTAATTATCGTTGACTTAGGCTGTGTAGACAGGTTGTGCAGCACAGAGTTCAAAGTCAACTTCTCTGGTAAATATTTTTGAGCTTCTCAATCACATTTCATCCCATAGTATAGTGTCTTGATTTTTCCTTTCTGCTTTTTTGCAATCTATCTAGATTCAGGTCACCAATGACTACATTGTAGTTGCAGATCTTGGACAACTGCTACCTTCCTTTCTGACTGTCCTCTCCTTGAAAGACTCCTTTGTCAGCTTCCGATACCACTTTTCTGGTGGCTCTTTCTTGGCATTATCCTCATCATGTCTCATTAAGGCTTCATCTTGTGTCTGTTAGTCTTATTTTACCTGCGTATATACATTAAAAACATGCATGGTAGTTGAGCAACAACATGTATTGTTTTAGGTGGTTTTAAAAATATGTCAAATAGTTGGGCATGGTGAGGCAAGCCTGTAATTCCAGCACTTGGGAGACTGAGGCAGGAGGATCCAGGCCTGCATGGGCTATGTAGCAAGATCCTGTCTCAAACAAAAAGTAAAGTGTGTTGATGATGATACACGTTTTTTTTCCTCCCAGTTCAGCAGTAATTTTAGATACATCTATATGTAGTTTATTCCTTTTAATGCTATATATTATCCCATTGTGTGACCACATTGTATTCTAAGTACTGTATTTTATTTGTAGACATTTATTTAGTTTCTGTTTTTCATTAATATAAATAAAGCTGTGAACATCCTTGTCATTCTCTACATCTCCAGGCTTTAGAGACGTGCACTTGACCTGCAGCATCAGCATCACCTTGGACTTGTTTGAAATGCAGATTCTCAAGCCCCCTCCCCAAAATACTGCTAGAGATTCTTTGAGCATGACCCGCCACTGTTTTGCAAGGGTCCACGTGAGACTGATTCCACTAGTTTAAGAATCAATCACTGTTCTCCAAAATACTCCTGTGATCAATAGTTTTGAGTTAGAGGACATGAGGATTTTTGGGTTTTTGTAGATACACTATTATTTGAAGATCATTTTTCCTGCCTTTGTTCCGTGTATAAAAGATGATAATGGATGGAAAAACATGGCTTTTTGTTTTTTTGTGTCTGATTATTAATGAGGTTATACAACTTTCATAAATTTATGGCTTTTCAGTTAGTATTCTTTTACTAAGTTTTCTAAGAATTCTTTATATACTATTATTATTATTATTTTAGCTGTAGTAAATTTTCCACTCAGGGCCTTGTACTTGCTAGGGAGTTGCTCTACCACTTGAGCCAGGGTTTTATGTTTTTGTCCGGAGCCAGCCTCAGACTATGATCCTCTTTCTTAAGGCTTCCCACATAGCTGGGATCATAGGAGCGCACCACCACACCCAGCTTGTTGGTTGAGATTAGGTCTTGCTAACTTTTTTCCTAGGTTGGCTTCAAATGGTGATACTCCAATCTCTGCTTCTTGAGTAGCTGGGTTTGCAGATGTGAGCCACTCCACCCAGCCAAGATGTGTTATTTCTTTCACTGTAATCCCACCCTCTCCAGCTGTATGCAGCACTGTGTTTGTCTAGGCTTTCTACTCATTGGAGCAGTCCTGTGTGGTATGCCAAAGCCGTTCACATTCTTTTTTTAAATATGGTTCTGTTTCTTCACTACTGTAACCTCATTTCCTGCTGTTATCCACCTTGAAAATTGGCTACTTTTCAGCTTCTGGTAACTTCCCCAGAGATGCTAAGAATAGATGGATGTCTTTAGTCCCCCATCTTATCCCCTTGTGATAGATTAACTTAAATTATTTTGACTTTATAATGGTACAAAAGTGATAGACAATGTTGGGCAGTGACAGTCAACCTTAGCTTCCAAGATCAGGAGGGTAAACAATTGCTGCTGTTTAGAGTATTGTGTTGCTAGCCTATGGTATTTGGCAAGTAAGGTGTATTCCATTCATTTTGCTTAGGATATTTTCAACTTATGATAACCGCATCATAAATCAAGGAATACCAATTTTTTTTAGAAATTTTTTTTTACCAAGAATATCCCATTCCAAATTATGCAGTTTCTTTTTTGATTATGAATTCCTATTAAATTTTATCAAATTATTTTTGGCATCTATATTGAAATCAGATTGTTCTTTTTAGTTGATGAATTACATTAATTGATTTTGAGATGTAGAAGTAAGTTGGTGTTTCTAAAATAAACCCAACTTGGTCATAATCCATTATACTTTTTTTTATATTATTAGATTTCATTAATTTATATTTTGTATAGGATTTTTGTGTCTATGTGCAAAACAGAAATTGACCTGTAATTTTTTGTATGTTTTTTTAAAGATTATTCTGTATTCATAATATCAATTCTTGAATATTTCTTCTTGTTTTTCTCTGCAAGTTTTAATTTTGGTGGTATTTCTTTCCTAGATATTTTTTTACCTGCAAGACCATCTATGCCTGAAATTTTCTTCAGTGTTCAGAGGAAAACTTTAAATTATAGTTCCAATTTTCTTAGTAGATGTGATACATTAGATTTTCTTTTCTTTTTTTCTTAAAGTAAGTTGGAAAGTTGTGTTTTTCTATGAATGTCACTTTTTAGTTTAAATTTTCTAATCTTCTGGTGTAGTTGTTCATACCATCTTCCTTAATGTTTTCATTGAGATTAGGAGCTGTAGGGATTTTTTTTCCTGTCAGATATTGATAAGTGGACCTTTTTTTCTATATATCTTGATTAGTCTTCCCAGGGTACTGTCAAGTCTATTAGATTTTTTTTTTTTTTTTTAGAGAACCAATTTGACTTTTTCTATTGTGTGTGAGCTTGTTTTAATTAAGTAATGTGTAATCTGTAATATGTCCTTCTGTTTCCATCCTTTGTGTGTAATTTGCTCTTTTTCTAAAAAAGATGGATATTTGATTTCTTTCATCCCTTTTCCTATATTATTAAGGGTGCATTTCTAATCATGGTATTTGCTGTATCTCACAAGCTTTAGTAAGTTATATTTTTATAATTCAATTAAAAATATTCTTGAATCCCCACTTAGAAATGTATCTTTTACTATCTAAACTGAGTGATTTTTCTAATTAGTGTCTTTGTTATTGAAGATATCTTATTCCTACTGTGCAAAAAGAAGTACTTTGTAAGATTTCAAATCTTTGAAATTTGTTGAAATCTTTGTGACCCAGACTGAGGTCAATTTTGATAGAAGTGGTCCATGTGAATGGTTCTTCATTTTAATCAGAGTTGTATTCAATCTGTGTGGAATAACTCCTATTTCTGGAGTTCTGAAGTATTTAATTTAAGCCTGAATTTTAGGAAAAAACATGAGGTCATTCATTCTGCAAAATTTTTACATACCTACTATGGATTGTTTTAAGTAGAGACCACATTGTGAGCAAAGTAATCTGCATTTCTGCAGTCTACCTGTGTCTGTTCATGTTGAGTTAGTCTTAGTAGATTATAATGAAGTCTGCCAGAGTGTTATTTAGAATATTTGCATTAAAAATGAAATGTGAACTGTTCCTGAACAATATTTTTTTCATGTTAGGTTTATGATAGTTAACAAATACTTGTTATAGAATGTTTAATTCACATGAATTGTCATTTTAATTAATAGTGGCTGTACTATAATACTAAAAACATCTAAGCCTGGTGATTTTTCTAGGGCCTTAGGCATGCTAGGTAAGCACCTACCATTGAGCTACTTTCCCAGCACTAAAAGGGACTTTGTCTCCTTTCTGAAACACTTTATGTGTGCATGTATGTATGTATGTATGTATTTATTATTTATTGAGGTGAGTTTCACTGAGTTGGTCCCACTGGCTTCCTGAGTGGTTGGAACTGCAGGTGTGCCCCATTGTGTCTGGCTTCTAATTGACTTTATATGACTTCATAGTCATATTTCTGGCTGTTGATCATTAGGCCAGTTTTCCATTACTTTCTAAATCAGTTTTT